AGTATAGCAAATCAGTCACTCAGAACATCTCATAAATGATGGTATATATTAATGGGAAAACCATTTGAATTACTAAAATAAAATAGTCACAGTTTTCCTAAAATATATACACTGTAATTTAAGGCAGAGATACATAATTATATAGCAAATAGATTTTCAAGTGTTTCTGTGTAGTCACTAGTACACATTTAGAGTGCAATAGCTAATGTAATAAATACACATTCTTTCTCAGCTCCATTGCATGCTTCAGAGCAACATTATTTCCCGGAGCTGTAAAAGATCTTTCATGTCGAACCTCATGATTAACTGGTGTAACACTGCCAAGAAAGGAGATAGAGGTAGAGAACAAGTGTGTCTTAGTGAAATCACAGGTGGCATGCACATTTTCTCAGAACCAAGCCTAGAGATTAGGACTTATGTTTTTTAATTAATTAAGTATTTATTGCGTAAAGAGATTTATTTTTCATTGATAAATAAAAATTATGTTTATGGTGTACAACATGATGTTTTGAAACATATATACATTGTGGAATGGCTATATGGAGCTAATTAACATATGCATTACCTTACATACTTATCATTTTTTTGTAGTGAGAACATTTAAATATCTCCTCTAGTGATTTTCAAGTATACAGTATGTCATTAACAGTAGTCGCTATGTTGTACAATATGTCTCCTGAACTTCAGGTTTGGTTTTTTGGTTGTTATCCCAATTTTTTTTCTCGTCTAACTTCGTTATTGCCTTGAGACTGTGACAAGTTGGTAGATGCAGTGTTGAGCTGAGTGATGTTTTTGATGGCCCTTCACTTAGAAGATACAAGGGGAGAGGGGCAACGTAAATGAGGAGGAAACAATTAGTTTTGGAAATGTATTTGAAAGGCCTCTGGTACATTCAAGTGCAGTTTTCTAGATATAGAACAGGGTTTAGGGCGATAGGTGGGTGCAGCTCTGAGAGTTTTCTCCATGAATGTTTTAAAGTCCCCTCATAAATGGATAATTGAGATCCACGTATAATTTTAGCTATAAATTTTAGCCTCAAGTTTTTATCAGAAATTGTATATTGGGGTCCGTGAGCGCGGGAGCCGGGCGGCTGCGGACTGCAGGCGGTGGAACCGATGTTGTTATCCAGTCTCAACGCCGTGTTGTTATGTCAGTGATGAAGATGGGGCAGGAGGTTGCAGGCGAAAGCTCCCCAGTCCCAATTCCTTCCTCTGCAGAGAATAGCTTCGCGTGATTCCCTCTCAGAGTGAGCAAGTCCAGCTTGGTCCAGACATTATTGCTGCTGATTCTAAGATGGCGACGGGTCTGGAGCGGCCGTGCCAGGAGACAGCGCGATCCTGAGAAGTGTGCACTGTGATATCAGAGTACAAATTGCATTTCCAAGAGCAACAAAAAACGAATAATTCTTTCAACAACGATCCTATAACGACAAACAAGCAACAACAGGTTCGAGGTTTT